AAAAAAACTCACCTGAGACAGGGAGGCTTGCTAAGGAAGAAAAATAAGTCTCATTTTAGCATATTGATTGACATATAATTTTTATTGGCATAATATTTGATAAATATTAAAATGATTTAGATTTTGTAAAAAAGATCTCACCTGGGCTAGGGAAGGTTGCTAAAAAAGAAAAATAAGTGTCCTTTTAGCATATTGATTGACATATAATTTGTATTGGCAGAATATTTGATAAATATTAAAATAATTTAGAATTAGGAAAAAAAAATCTCACCTGAGCCAGGGGAGCTTGCTAAGGAAGAGAAATAAATGTCTTTTTAGTATATTGATTGAAATAGAATTTTATTGGAATAATATTTAACATAGACTTCACAAAATGTAAATTCTTCTCTACTAAGCAGTTAAGTAAGTTTAAATTTAGCTCAGCCTTGAGAAGCCCACAATCAGTGTAGAGTGCATAATAATATCTCCAATTTTTCTCCCTTGTCTTTTAATGCCATGCTTATATCAAAAAGTTAATAAACTTAAACTTTGCCTCAAAAAAAGTAGAAAAGGTAAACTTACATGTTGATATTCAGGTCAATAATTGGCTAATTATTATTTATGTTAAAGCTAGAATAAGTAGGCTACTTAGAAATATAAAAAACGATGTGAATAAAACTCATTTGTATTATTTCTACAATGCATTATAATGAATAAAACATTACCTTGAGAAGTTGGTTGTATTTGATCTTGCTCTGAAGGTGTTCCTGTGTAAAATGAAAAAAAAAATCTCAATTTCATGTACATAATTCAGTAGTTTTAGATAGTAAATTGATGTCTTTTTCTGGGACTAAGGGTAGACAAATTATTAATCTTATACTAGTACCCTTTTTACCCCAATGAATGTATTTTTTTATAATCATTAAAATTTTTCTATAAAAATTATTTTAATTCAAATTGTAATATCTCTAGCTGTGATTATTAGTGGGTTATATTTGCAATATCTCTCTGGTTGGATAACCAGAAAATGGAAAATACTATTTGCTTATTTTAAAAGTTTGGTTTTACAAAGAATTGAGAGTGCTTCATGAAACAAATTAAAATGTTTCTAGTACTAATTAAAGTTTATTTAGAGGTGATCATGTGTTAATGTTAACACATTAATAGCAATTTAATGTTTATTTTATCACAAGACGTAGTGATTGCATCAGAGTGATTGAAAGCAAAGCTTCGACTGGGGGGTTGTTTGACAAAGTAACACGCCATCATTTAGAGAGTGTGTCATTCACATTCAAAAGTGATAAACCATGACACATTAAATAAAATCTTTAGCTGAAAGGAAAGAATTGTAAACTTAAAATAAATGTTGTTAGTTTAAGTTAAGTTGACAATCAGTCATTTAGATTTCATGAGACTATATATTGCAGGTCAGGCTGATGTCAAGGAGACAGAACGTCAGTATAATGTTCTCGGTCATTGCTTGACTTTTTGCTTTTGAAAGATTCATTGAAGTCTTACCAGGGTGCACCGGTTGAGTGTGTCTTTGTTTGCAATGTTTTTCTGCTAAAATAAAAAAGAGGCAGATATGTGAGGGTTGTAATTTTATTTCTTACCTAGGTTAATAATAGTATATTGTTAACTTATGTTAAATGTAGCGAATATATCCTACCTCAGCGATACTAGGGATAGCATCCTCAGATTCCTAACAAAAAGAGGAAAATAAAGATTTATAGTTATGACATTCTCATTTGAGGTGTTATAGTAATAAAGCAAACTCTGTATTACTGAATTACTGCCCTAAACTGATCTTAAGACACAAACTCCTGGATAACAAGATGAAGTTGCTGACTTGGGTTGTATTTTATATTTATACTCCATTTCTTCTTGTTATTATTTTCTTTGGACATCACTCTGAATGTTGTGGTAGATGAAAATAAATGCCTGTTCAAAATTACATAGCTACCCCTTTGTCCTATGTTTTATTTCAATAGTTGGAAATTTCACTTATAAAATCAGAGCATTGAATTCAGCTGTGTCTACTGTCGTTTTTCTAGGTTAACAAGAGGCCAAGAATGAATACTACTGATACTATCTCAGAGTCAGGATAATCTAGATTCAAGTGACTTCTACACTCAACATAAGACATTCACACCGTTTACTTGGAAATTATCACTTAATAAACTCAAACTCTATAAGAAAAATGAGAATGACAAAGAAGGAAACTAAATTTACAAATAAATAATCAAAAAGAAGGACACCACACATGGCCCAGGAATATCTTTAAATTCATCTTTGATAAGAAGTGCTTTCTTATTTTATTGGATGATAGTTACATACTAAATCTAACATAATGTCACACATAGAGATTCTAAGGTAAGAAGGATTGCATTGTAGTTACATATTGTACTACAGATGTTCACAGATGTCTCCCCAGTGAGTGAGTCTTGGAGTGAGAATGAAATCTTTACCTCGCTTGATGAGCTGCTTGAGGAGTCTTCCTGTGAAGAGGAAGGAAATAAGCCTCATGACCTCCTGAAGGTTTTAGAATTTGAAGAAAACAACCCCATGGCAAAGAAAGGGTTATTTTAGCATTGAAACAAGCTATGCAAAAGATTCGTGGCCACTGTAATGTATTTTCTTATCAATTTTACTTGAAAAATTATGTGAGGGAAATTCTAATAACTCAGCAAGCAGGAGAGATCTAAACAGTCATTTTTAAATCTATTTAAACAAAGACAACTAATTTTACCATTATATAAATGCAAAATTAATGATTTTTTCATAAAACAAAAATTAAAGGCTATTTAAGACAGGCTCAGTGTTTATTCTCACATACTTTGGGCATACTTAATATGAAAAAGCAGAAAATATTAATAATAACAGTTTCATTTTAGGAATAAGATTTGACTTATAAAGTAGATTCAAATCATACGCCCTTTGGCATAATTAATCTTTCTTTTAACTCATGCCAATATAAGCATATATAGTTTTATCTCTGATAATCCATTTCAAAAGATGGATTTTAATATTCCACTCATTATTTGTTTCTGGAGATAATTGACTGTATACATAGTAGGCTGATGGAGTGTCCTCCCATATTTTAGAGTAGGCAGCACAGTGCACGTAGCCAAGGGCTATGTGGATTCCTTCTGTTCAGCGCTGTACTCAAGACTAGAAAAGGGGGTTCTTGGTCCCAAATGTCAGCAAAGTGTTTTGTAGTTTTTGAATTTGAAGCACATTTTGCTTCTTAGTTTTTATTTTAATAAATAAGCAAATCTTTCTAAATTTTATGAATACTATTTAAATGGCTTAAATTATTACTTCTCTTTATAATCAGAACACAATGTATATTTTTTATTCATAAAGTGAAACACACTTCTCTGAGAGGTCCAAGAAGTAAAATAATTCTAAATTCATTTTCCTAGTGTGTGCAGCTTAAGGTAACTTGCTCAAAAAGCAGCAGACTGCACACAATACATGCAATGGATATTGTGTAGCTCCTTAAAATGAAAGAACCTCACCTGAGCACTTGCCATTGCTTGTTCCTAAGGAAAAGAAACAAAAAGAATTTTTATGTTTTTCATGACAAACAAACACTCACTCAAAACTAATTACTACCAATTCAAGAAGATACTAGCAAAACTAAAAACCCAAGACAGTATCTCAGAATTGAGGCAAACAAACTAAATTTATCTTCACATTCCTAATTTGCATTTCCAAGATTAATTCAAATCTTTTGAGTTCTTCTACATTGTGAGTGACTGTGAACATATTAATGTATCTGAACACTGCAACCTTTGGTTTTCTTTCAACTTGACTTCTGGATATTGAGCAGAAACACTGTATAAAAGGCATATAATAGATAAAAATGTACTTGAGTAGAGTGTGGCTCAGGAGTGCATAGATACTTAAGAAATGATTTTTTTCTACTTAATATCCTGTGCCCAGGTTTTGGCGTCACAGTAGTAGAAAGACAACTTTTTTTTTCCCAGAAAAAAAAGTTTTTTTTTTAACATATCAGGATTGGGGTGTGTTATCTACTTAATTCCAGCACACATGTAACTGTGTTTTTCTAGGTATTAGAGATATTTGGAGGACTATCAGAATTATTCTCTCATTTGGATAAGGTAACTTTCTTATGTGTTTCCCCCAACCCCATACTCAGTGGAATAGTTTTAAAGCAAAGGGCTTTACCTCAGTTGATGAATCCATAGTTAACTGTAAAAAAAAGTTTTTAGTCATTAAATAGATTTTTTAAAAAAATTACACATCATTGAGGTTAATCATTTTGAGAATTGTAGGCTCTTTTAATACTGAGTTTTTATAAAAAGTCATAAACAATCAAGTTCAAAGGCTATGATCAGTGAAAGAATACTGAATTTCATGATGTAAAATGTTCTTGGGCCATATGTAATGCTTTTAATCATCCCTGCTAATGCCTTCTTTCAGCCTTCATAGTACATGAAGATTATGGACTAGACTGTAAATGTATTTATTTAGTTTTATTTGTTTAGTCATGGTGTGATATGTATATCTTACTTCATCATGGTGTTCACTTAGGTCTATAAAATCAGAAGCTGTCCAAGTTATCAATAGTATCTGTTAGTCATTTTGAATGTGCGATTGAAAGGTTTAATGAAAGAGTCAATGCCATATAGAATAGAAACAAAAGCATTCTTATGCTATGCAAATGCATATTTTGTGGAAAACTTTAGTACCTTGATTTCATTATTCTCTTCTTCTGTCAGAAGTGCTCTCTGCTGAAAAAGCCAAGAAAAACATTAATCATGCAAATCTAAGTCACAGGTTTTAGTAATAGTTTAATATTTATAGATGTTTCTTACTCTGTTCAGGTTGTTGAGCAATTCCTTATGGTTAGAAAAGAAGAAAAACGTTATTAGCAGAAATGACAAAACTAATGAAAATCCATAACCAAGCCGACAAGTCAACATCATCACTTCCCATTGCAAATTTAAAAATCGATCTATTTTCAATTAATGTCTCCGTGTTTCTTGTCCCATGAATTCTAAACTTAAATGTTTCTTCACTGTTCTGTTTTTGCGTGTGCTATAAGTAAATGAGCTCTGAAGCATTTTCAAATTTGTTTTATTTGATTTTGTTGTCTTTGCCAGACATTTGTTTAATGATCAGTTGTAAGGTGTATTGAATTAATACTTGAGTACCTATTTTAACTCTACATTATATCCCATGGAGTCTTTCTGACCTTTCCCAAATCTACTGTTTAGTCTTGTTTCACCTGTTCAGCTCAGGTATAGACATGCTGGTGAGACTTTATGGGTGTAGCTTCTGAAAATAAGGATGTTAACATGGACAGTGGAAAACCCAGGAGGCCTCAACCACACACAAGGAACCACGGGCAATTAAACAATGCTGAAAGAATGAGAAATGGTCTTTCCCAGGGAGGAGCACACCAATCGCTTATCCAATACCAAATGGTAAGCACTGAAAACATACATATAATATATACACATTGAGCACATTGTACGTATGTATTTAGGAATATATGTTTGTATGCATTGGTGTGTATGTATGTATATATATATATATATATATATATATGAATGTATGTATGTATGTATGTATGTATGCTTATACCAATTAATGAAGAAAGAGAGAAGAGCAGAGAAAGCTACTTGAGAGGATCTGAAGGGAGCAAAGAGAAGTGGGAAATGATGTAATTACATTAAAATGTCAAAAATACAGGAAATTTCATTCAGACAAGGTTGAGTTAGCCATAAAGTCTTTTAAATAATGGTGTTCCATTAGAGTCTGATACTCGTATATTCAACAAACGAGCAACATCTTAGAGAGCTGAAACCTATCTGAGACACTCATTCATGCTCCCAGAATACTGTATATCATGAGCATGGAAACTTGAGCTGCTAAATAAGTCATGGAAAGAAAAGATGAGTGTTTTCGTAAGAAGCAACGTTTTAGGCATAAATTAAAATTAAAATCTACTTTTTAATGAATAAAGAGGGTTATTAATTCCAGTAAAAAATGATGCTTTATACATGTGAACTACTCTTTGTTTTATCCACTTATTGAGAACAAAGTGTAGCGGCAGATGCATAGACATGGCATAATGAAAGCTGCTACTTTGCATGCTAACCTGAAAAAAAGTGTGTTTTCCTCTAAGAGTGTGTTTGTGTGTTAAGATCTGGAAACACTTACCTCATTTATGCTGAGATACTTTGGTTGTTTAACAATTTCCTGTTGGAATTGAAATTTGAAGTATAAAATGATAAGCTGACCGCTAAGTATGTTCATGCGTTGAAACATGTGATTCCATTTGAACATACGAGGGTGAATTTATAAACACACATACAAAATGAATTTGTTCACCACAGGAAACTAAGTGTTTAATTTATTTGAGCAAATCAGTAGATTCTTAGGTAGGAGAAAAATCTGTAATTTTAGTTTTACACAAAGTCAAAAATCTAAAAGGGACACCTTAACTGATTCCCTTTTATACTAAGCCTTTTAAGCATTCGTTTTCCTAAATGTTCAACAAAGGCTTTGCATATCGATGACATCAAAACAGAACTGAGAGGATAGTCCAGTGATCTGAACACTTGTGTACTTTTGGAGATGTATAAAAAGCAGTGTGTCGAAGTCTTTCCATGTCTAAGACAACTAACTGAAGGATTGAGGAGATCAGAGGAGTATGGGTGTGGTTCCCTGGACAGGTTGCTTACCTCACTGCTGCTGTGCTGTTGCTGAGTCTGCAAAGAATAAATGGTCACATGGCATTAGTCCATATACTAGAAAGAGTGGTGAACTAACGTCTGTCATAGTGGCTATGGTAGAGATAATTAATTCACGATTCAGAATGTAAAATTAGAGCAAATTAGGAGTCACAAACAGTAAGTGGAAGGGAATATATTAACATGTTAACATATTCTGCTTTGATAACAATTTCTTGTGAATAAGTACTTGAAATAATTCTCTCGTGTATGAGTGTATGCGGTGTGTGTGTGTGTGTGTGTGTGTGTGTGTGTGTGTGTGAGCGTGTGTGTGTGGGCATGTTCATGCCAGAGTACATGTGTGGAGGACAGGGGACAATATTAAGGATTAAAGATCAGTGTTTCCCCTTCTAACTTGGGCTCTAGGGACTGGGGGCTGATTTGACAGTTGCACAATCCACATGTACCTGCTGAGCCATCTCCCTAGCCCCATGTGCTTTTTTTTTTTTTTTTTTTTTTTGGTTTTTCGAGACAGGGTTTCTCTGTGTAGCCCTGGCTGTCCTGGAACTCACTCTGTAGATCAGGCTGGCCTTGAACTCAGAAATCCGCCTGCCTCTGCCTCCCAAGTGCTGGGATTAAAGGCGTGCGCCACCACCGCCCGGCCCCCATGTGCTTTTTTACAAAAAGTATGGTTAAAATAATTAATCTTGTGTGTATTAATATTTTTACTGAAATGATACCCCTAAGAAAAGGTGCAAGCATCTATTCCACAGAGAAAGAAAGATGGACTTTGCCTCTTTTGCTATCAATTAAGCCCCATGGTTAGAGAAAGTTCTTGAAGGGCAGAGTACAGTACTCACTTGACTGCTAACTGCATTTTTATGATGAAGTCTCTGAAAAGTAAGAGAAGAATTAAATAACCCAATACTAAACAGTCAAAATATCAATAATAACACAGATATAATAACATTTAGCTGGAATTGCTATTTAAGGAAAATCTTTAACAATAATATTTAAAATTTGTCAGAAACTATTGCTTTTGAGAATAACAAGAAATAATTATTTTATTGACAGATATGAAAGAAAAATGGTTTGTCTGTCTTCTTTAAGTTTTGACAGAGAACCAAGAAAAACATGTGAAATGCCCAAATGTAAAACTCTTCAGTTAGTTTTAATTTATTCCAAATGATAATTTAGTTTTCTGGACAATTTATATTATAAGAGAATTTTAAGATAGTTTTAAAACATTATACTAATTAGGGAGCAAAGTGTGTAGTATCCTAATTAAATTTTTGTCATTATTGCATTTTATCATTAATTATATTATACACGTGTTTAAATTCACAGTCAAGAGTAAAAATAACAGTTACATTTAGTTAAATGATAACATCTACAGATACAATACTTTTTTCTTTGGCATATGTGTTTTCTATTTTCTTGAAAAATCATTCAGATACAAGGTACCTGAAATGAGAATTTGATTATGTAGAATACTCTGGAATAAAAGGCTCTTGGTCATACTTTGTAAAGAAACATCATATGCCTCTGAAATACTTAGAAGGCCACTTACTCTATGCTGTACTAGGGAAATGAACCTTGTTATGCTATTTACAGCTATGCAATATTTTATTTTTTCTTACTTTTATTTCCGATTTTCATCGTGGTTTTATTTAATTTCTAATAGAACATGTGATTTGGGGCTTTAGATTTGGACAGATTACATGATGTGATCAAAATGTGAGCTCATAATCTTTTTCTAATTCTGACTACAGTTATTAATTAGAGATCATCAAATACTTAGGGTTTTTGCTCTAAGAGTCTCAGGTGTGAACAGGTGGCAGATCATTCCTGACAAGAGGGCACAACTTATTCACCAAACTCACAGGCATAGCAAGAGCAGCAGCCACAAGGCAGGTGAGGAGGAGGAGTTTCATTGTTGCCAGGAGCTGTTTTATAAAAGGAGCAAAAAAAAAAAATGTTAGAACTCATCTTTATAAATTTTTCCTTGACTATTCAACAAAGGAGTATTACTATGATAAAAATAAATCAGCTTCATACATGATGGTTAAGCATAAAATGTTTAGTCACGCAAGCAAAACAAATGTTTACCACTCTTGCTATCTAAGTTCTTTTAACTTTAAAATTTCATTCATTTAGTCCGACCCCCAATCCTTTCCCTCTGACCCTTGGTATTGGCATGGCAAATGTGTGTATAGGCCAGAGAAGAACTTGTGAGTCAGGATTTAAAGTCAGTTAAATGTGAAGTCAGAGGATGAAACTCCCCTCCCCTGCCTCCCCTTTGTTAGTTCTTATGTCTTTCAGAAATACCAAATTTCCATCATTTTCACTTACCGTCTAAAAATAATTTGATATTTAATATGTCATTCCTTATAAGATGGTGTGTGTGGGGGAAGCATCAGTCTTTAAAAACAATTAGAAAGAACAACTATCTTTGAATCACCACATTTACAAAGCAGGCAAAGTAAAGAAATAAAACCCAACAAGGAATTTTCACTCTCATTTCTTTTAATTTGAAATTCTTTGAAAAAGTATCTTTCATGTCGATCTATGTGAAGCATTCTATTCTTTAATCCTTTGTGAAAACTCTCTCAGTTAACACTATTAATCTCTGTCAATTAATTTTAAAATTTGGTATTTGGTATCATCTTTAGTGTGCAATATTTTAGTTACAGAAATTATCAAAGGTAAATTGATTTGTACAAAACTATAGTGATCTTTCAATCTGTGAGAAGATATTAAAGTTTTTAAATGCAGTTTTAAGCTCTTGACATATTGTAAGAAACTATCAATATTTTATAAATACTTACAAAACATTGCAAATACATTTTAATTGAGAATACGTTAGATCTATGGAATTATAACATGATTTTTTTTTCTATATATATAAAAACAATACCTTGAACCCAAGAGTAGGGAGAGGGAAGCTGGGAGATGATCAAGAAGATGGCTGAGGAGGTTGCTCGCAGCTATTTAAACTCACTGAGCAGTGAAATGCTAATTTTGTGGGTTTGCTTCAGACAAAGGTTTTACATAAATTCTAAGAAGTGTTGCAAATAGGAAATTAATTTCTGCCCAATTCCTCTCCCAGGGAAATTCTGAGAAAAGTTTCCAACAAAGGAGTGATTCATGTAATTATGGCAAATTGTATAGGAAATGCAAAATACAAAACTATGAAGATTAACAGTTATTGCTCAAACATGGTTTTAGGTTGAAAGATATGAACTCCATCATATCTTTTAAAAAATATATATATTTTTCTAAATGAAATCCTTGGGGGGAAAATAAGGTCCTCCATGTGTCACACTTGAGAACATATCTGACCACTTAAAAAAACAAAACCTATCTTTTTAAAAGTCATTTGTCTTTAATGAATAATTGGTAGCTTAGTTTATGGAATAGTTTATATCATATGTAATCTAAATATAAATTTTGGGGGGGAGAAAGCTCAACTCTCCTATAAATCTTGGTAGCAGTTCAGCTGTACTTGATTTTTTTCTTTGTTTTATTTAGTTTAGTCATTTGACTTTTCTTTTAAAATTAAAATGAAAGGACTTGAGAATTAAAATTTAATTTTACTTAAATAAATCATAGATCTGATAGTCCATTTAAAAATTAGCATAAGCAGAATCCTTTCTCTCTAAACTCAAATTCTATTCTTAGAATTACTCAGCATGTTGCAGTTTTGATATTTTACATGCTGAAGAAAATATCTGCACAGAGAGACTATTTAAAATTATTATTCTGATGATTCCTTTGATTTTTATTTTCTTTTTATTACAAAACATAGTCTTACATATTTTAAGTAAATTTAAAACTAAGATAACACCCATAGCCTATTTACTGTTACATGACAGGGACATTATTCCCAAATCAAAAGGCATTCTAGGGTCTCCATATTTGAGAGTCAGAGGAGATTGTGGATTTGCTTATTATAGCTGTATAAGTAAGATGATGCCTTCTGCTAGCTTCCTGTGGGAGCTGATTCACATCAGTCCAACCAGTTCACTGTGTCTCGTCTCTACTCTGACTAATTCAGGAGCTTCAGCATGGCCATCACTAATGTTCTCAAAGGTCCCCCTTCAGGAATGCCATCACTGATGTTCTCTAGTGCCCACCTTGTTCCTTTCTAGATGTGCACCTGGAGCAGTTGATTTATGTTACTCTTAACTCAGAGTCTCATTATATGAAGCTCTTCTGGGTTCTCCCTTGTTTCCTTAGTATGTTACTCATGCATTGATCCACAGAGGTTATAAAAAATGAAAGACAAAGGGAAAGGTACTGCTCTGGATTTTAAAAAACCGAGTACGACAACAACAACAAAATTCTAGCCTCACAGTAATTAAAAGAATGATTTTAATAAGTCGCTTAGTAATTTAGATACAGGGAGGAACACAGGGCTTCTGAGTTCCAGCGATGGATGAAAATGAAGTAGGGCGTTCTAGAGAAGGTTCTTTAACTCAATTCAGTTATAGTGAGTCATGAAATACAGAGGACAACCAGAACTTTAGGTAACTTACTCAACATCTTCAGGCAATCTGCTACTTAGCAAGTTTCTTTATCTCCTCCCCTGAGCATCTTTAAGATCCATTTTAACGACTTATACCTCCCAGAGAGACGGATTGATTTTCTATTTTGTTTATATTTGAAGAAGTTTAACTTGAAATATACATGTATATGACACTGCTTTACAGTAATGGGTCAAAATAGTTTGGTTGTTCCTTGTACATTTGTGAAAGTCTGCAAGAATTTTTAACTGAAATTTGTCCTGATTATTTTCTGTTTGGTTTCATTCATTAAATTGTCTGTATCTATCCATTAACAAAGTTCAAGCTTGGAGTACTTATTTAAGTAAGCCACCTGTGATGTGATATATTCATTTTTGTTCATGCATACAATGTGTTTAATTAAGTCCACCCTGAAATTCTTTCTCCTGCAATTCCTCCTTCATTCTCTTTAGCCACAATTTCCTCTCAAATCCAAGTATCCTTAAAAGAAAGAAAGAAAGAAAGAAAGAAAGAAAGAGAGAGAGAAAGAGAGAGAGGAAGAAAGAAAGAAAGAAAGAAAGAAAGAAAGAAAGAAAGAAAGAAGGAAGGAAGGAAGGAAGGAAGGAAGGAAGAAGTCAACACAACATAATGCTGTCTGGGTGTGCATATATTATTCAGAAGTATTGCACTTTTGGATAGTTAGAGAAAATAGATAATGTTTAATGGAAAATGCCTGAAGTGTAAAATGAACTCACATCAGCAATCAAAAGTAGTAATTAGTATAAGTCCCAGTCTATAATAATCCACAATCTATTTTCCTTTCAATTACCATAACATTATTAATAAACAGATTTTAATTTTTTTCTGTTTTTCTTTCTCTTCTTTTTCCTCCTCCTCTTCTTTGTAAAAGCCATTTCCTAATTGAATTTCTTGTTGAAGAACAAACATTTTACTCTGAAATACTGTAGCAACTAACCATGTCTGACAGTACGTGAAATTACTGAAGATTATAAAAGTTAATATTTGAGCATAGAAGGAATTTTAGGTTTAGAGAATTTTATATATGCATTGTGTATTGATAATGACTCTAAGAGGCTTGCAAATGAAGAGATTCTTGTAGGAGACGTTGAATGTGGTAGAATCCTTGAATGTAAAGAGAAACAGCCCAACTATCAATAATGTTGAAAATAGAAAAAAGAATTCATCAGTGACCAGAATCTCAATGGAGAAAAAAAATAGTTGTAGAAAAAGGCAGTAAGAAAGGGGAGATAACTAAGTAGTGGAGAGATACAACTTCTAAGGTTTCTGTCCCTTTCAAATAATGTTGGTGCTAGCTCAAGGGGAGACTCCAAGGCCTGACACTGTTATTGATGCTATGGTGTACTTACAGAAAGGATTCTAGCATGGTTACCCTCCCAGAGGCCCAACAAGCTGCTGAATGATTCAGAAGCAGATACTTGCACCCAACCAATGGACAGAAGCCTGAGAATACTGTGGTTGAATTAGGGAAAGGCTGGAAGAAGTTGAGAAGAGGGGCTACCTCATGGGAAGACTGGCAGTCTCATCTAACATGGATCTCTGACATCTCTTAGACACTGAGCCACCAACTAGGTAGCATACACTAACTAATATGAAGTCCCCAACACATATAAAGCAGAGGACTACCTGGTCTGGCCTCAGTGAGAGAATATGCACCTAACTTACTTGAGGTCCCAGGGATGGGGAGGTCTGGTAGAGTGGAGAAAGGAATGGGATGAGGAACTGTCAGAGGGCAGACCTGGAAGGGGAAAACAACTGGACTCTAAGAAAGGATTAAAGATAATTAAAAAACAAAACAAACAAAACCCAAATAATGTTGGTGCCTAATATAGACAGGAAGCGGGAGTAGAAGGATAATTACTTTCTATTCTTGACCTTTAGAAGGAAATGAAGGCAGGAATAGGTCTTTTGTCTCCATGTGTGAGTGGGGTCATAATGTGGAATTAACTCAGTCTGTGGAGAATAGTGTTAAAGTGTCAACCTTTCTTAGGTTAAAATGATGGATAATAGTTATCAGCTTGCTTAAAATGTTTATGGGCACAATAAGGGAGATTTAAACAGGCTATGGATCTGAAATGTTCAGAACAGAAAAACATCATAGAAGTAAAATGGGAGAGAACAAACAGCAAGGCAGAGTATTTCAAACATTAGTTATGACTAAAAGTCACAGAATAAAAGAGATACCATAGTAAAAAGATTTTACAGAGTCATATACAAATTCAAATAAAGTTTAAGAAGTAGAAATTACTTCAATATTTAATCTTCAAGTTGATATGGAAAGCATATGTGGAAGGCCTGGGATTTGAAATTTCTATTTTAGAAAAACTTAAACACAGTGACAAGTGACTTAGAAATACTAGAGGCAAGTGCACAGAGGCACAAAGATAAAA